ATGAGAAGTGTTTGGTTCACAGCTACAGATTTTAGAATAAATCAAGAATCAAAAACAAGAAAAATTGTTGATTGTTTCTTTTTATTGTACCATTACATTGTACATACATGTATTTAGAATTGGCTACCCTGCCACGATTTCAAATGATAATTGTGGGTCTTTAAGTAGCAATAAAGACATTAAGACGAGTCAAAATATCAGAAACTCTTGTCTTGTGAATCTGTATTGCCTTTAAATTTTATGTGTTAATTAAAACACTTGCAAAGAGAGATTGTATTGCTTGTTCTAGACTTGCACAACATCAGATCGAGTCACTCTTTGGCCCTGCAGTTTCATTTCTAATCGCCAGGGGTGCCGATTTAGAACGTTGTATAGCGACATAAGTAAAATGTGTTTTAGGCCACACCAAGTAAATTTTATGGATGACGTCCTTTGGAGACCCTAAATCTAATGCGAGAGGGCGAAAAAAAAGAAAGGCCCTAAAAAACAAGATGCCTAGATTAGAAATATACTAAGAGATGACAAATGTTAGGACACAAATTGAATGAGGTGACACAGTGTAACAAGCAAGAAGTCTTTTATTCATCATCAAAACAGCAATAAATCAGGTGGAACAGCAGTTGTCGTCCTGTCCTGTTTTCACGTCACGGGTTTCACGTCAATCTGACGATTTGAGGCACTGTAGTGACTCTTTGGTCATAGTTACAGGAAGCAGAATTTCTTGTTTGTTTTTTTTCTAGGAACAGGCCAATGCGCGCGCGGACGTCATCCATAAAATTTACTTGGTGTGGCCTTTACAGATCTTCCGTGACCACAATTTTGAGAGCGACCTTCCTGTAAACAAACCTGTACAAATGTGTATGCGTCAAGGTTTCCGTACTGACGTCACAGAGGCCAAGCCTAGCGGGCTATTTTCAGCGATAGATAGCCAGAGATGCGATCGAGTCTTTCCTTAAATGTGGGAACGTTACGAGACTGATTCAGTACCTTTCAACACAGGTTAATAAACATTGACCTCTTCTCCTGCTGTATCTAGCCTGGTATCCAGTCTGATCGTGGTCGGGGCCGTAAGAGCTCTGTCCCGCCCGCCTCACATAGGTTTCCCGGTGTGTATTTCACGAGAGATTAATTAGCCCTCCACGAACATATCGTGTTGGGGGGAAACCAAATCCCCAAGCATACTGTCTCTGATTAGCGTAACACTCCTACCGGGACGGTCTGTTGCACTGGGCGGGGGAAGCTCTTAGAGCCCCCGAAGACACAACCTGCCTGAACACCCCAATACCCCCAATCACGATCAGACTGGATACCAGGCTAGCTGTATCCTGTGTGCTATAATTGTGGCTAGGATGCAGAGGATTTAGCTTTATGCATCGGTTGTATGACATTGATAATGAAAAAAAGAACTGCATACACAACCAACTCCGGTTAAGAATGATCTATCTATATTTCAATACCTTGATTTCATGTAACTTTTTTCTGAGTATGATTGCATTGCGTACTATGTTTCTGCTGTATCCTGTGTACTATAATTGTGGCTAGGATACAGAGGATTTAGCTTTATGCATCGATTGTATGACATTGGTTATGAAAAAAAAGAACTGCGTACACAACTCTGGTAAAGTCTGATTTATCTATTTTAAAGGCATCCAGTGCAGTTTTTAGGGCTTGGAAACCCGATTTTTCAAAGCCAATATTCTAGTCATTTATCTACATACTGAGTTGTAAACACACTATCTTTATGTATGTTGACCCTCATAGAGCAAAAATTCCCAAAATTCTGACGGAAAATGGTCACTTGAATGGCCCTGGGCTGATTTTTAGGGTACCACCCAGAAAATAAAGGACTCATCTCGGGGCTTGTTTCTGCAGTTTTAAATGCCTAAAGTATGAAATACATGTACTGATTGAAATGTACTAATGTGAAGTAGTATATGTCAGCATCACAAAGATTGCCTTATTCAGAATATTTCCAGTTTTGCTGCCCTGAAATCGCTTTGGATGCCTTATAGTTTAATACCTTAATTTAGTTGTTGTTTTCCTGAGTATGAATGCATTACTCAAACTGTTTACACCATTCTAACATATTACTTGTGCCACCGAAGAAAGTAAAGCAGAACTGTAAAATTCAGGCCAGCGAGAAAAATCCATTTTCTGCTCTTTCCACCTCCAAGTTATGAGCAACATAATTGTGCCTCTAAATCATTCATAATATCATGTCTCATTTTATTTGGATGTAAAAATGATCTGGCCTGGAAAGAAATTGAGTTTTCATGACATTGAGATTAGACGAGGACACGGCCCATATAAGGGTATCTTTGATATCTTTGCTCGCCCACGGTAAAATGCGATGTAAATGTTACGATGTATATATACATGATATATACATGATATATATATATGTGAATACCTCATATAAGCCATACATACATTTATATATTCTACATATATATTGGATAAAACCTTTCTATGCTCAGGTTTTCTAAAAGGAATGAGTGCTCCAAAATACAGTGACAGACGTTATGTACTGTCTTATCTTGGAAGTCCATCTGTGTTGGTACAAGTCATTATAAAACAAGTTTTGAACTTTGAAATTTGACTTATCCAAATTTTCGAGTAAAAAAATCCAGTCTTTGTCAAGGAATGAGCAATCTGCCGCTTCCGTGACGTCACACAACTGACTCCGTGAGCAGTGGATCATAGGTTGCAGAAAGTCTGTGGCGCCCCCCGTCTCAGGGCATTACAACCATCCTTCAAAAGAGACGGGGGGCGCCACACACTTTCTGCAAGCTATGATCCCACTGCTCACGGAGTATATTGTATACCATGTATGTAGCCTGGGTACCGTTCGGTTTTTAGTTTGGCTCGTTCCCTTACTCATTGTTTTTTTTTTGGGGGGGGGGGGAGATTGACAAGCAAGAAGTTCGAATGGAGAAGTCAAAATGGTCTCCCTGCAGGCTTGGAGAGGTAAGTTTTTATTTTTTTTATTCCAACATGTAATCACCAGACGTGGTGACGACACACTAAAGTTTCTTCAACTTATATCAATGCCGCCACCAACACAGGGGACACATACATTACAGGACAATACTCATTTACACCTGAGTTAAGTGAGGAAAGCCGTGTAAAGTGCCTTTCCCAAGGGCACAAGATCGGTGGCATGTCAGGACTCGAAGAAGGAATTCAACTCGAAATGTAAGGTGTGGAATCGTCGATAACTTCTTTTCCTCAGAATTTAGACCAGAAACGTCCTTGAGTGTTTCCCGATAGTATGTACTATGCTTTTTCAAATTGTTCACATTCCGAACACCCGTGTAATCTTCCTTCTGAAAGGTACACATGATATACAGACGTAAGTTCGCCGAATACCGGTTTGTGAATACCACTGTGCGTGATCCTAGACCCAACAGAAACGTATATTACTCGCACAAAGTCGTTCTAGTTGGGCTGTAAATTTGACTTGAACTGAACTTACCATCAACCGAAGTGCCTTCTATCCTCTCAGTGAATATAAAATCAAATAGATGCCTCACAAAACAGCCCCATCTCAACACGAATCCATGTAATCTTCCTACCTACAAGGCCTTGAAAGCGAACTGAGACCTTTCTATGACAAATAGTATGGAAGACGACTTCTATGCCCTGTGGACGACAGCGGAAGGCGGTACATTTTGTAAAGTTCAGCGTGAAGACTATTTCCCTGTCCAATTTGCACGATGTGTTTGGTCCGACCTTGAGAAGATCCAAGTCATCTATTGAAGTCATCCATTCCTCCTTCCAAGTAACCTTGCAGTGGCACGACCGTCTATTATGGTACCGTGTAGCTTCTAATGCTGAATAATGATAGTGTGGTCGTGCTAATAAAGCGGTTATTCGTCGTATGTACTTCAGTAGCCATGAGTTTTTGTTACGTAAGAACTCTTACGGGGTAATACTAATCTATTAACGGGACAGTTTCAACAGTTCAGTTCACAACTCATGATCTTTCCAAATCAGATCACTCTCCCTACTGACGTTCAATTTTATTTTGTCACGCGCCCTTGTTATTCGATGCCCCCCCCCCCATCCCCTCGTCCACTTTTTTTTACCAAATTGTACCCATGACGATTCTGTCGCCATATAGATGCACCAAAATTACCACGTACTCTACATATACACGTTACAGCTTTCATTTCATCCTACCATACATCACAATACAATGCGACCTTCAGAATATTTTACTCCGCACACCAGTCCTATGGGTGTAGTTAGACCCATGGAAATGACAGCATAGTCCCGCGCAGATTGCTACAAACACTATTAAACCCACGGTGGTAATGTGTGGGCTGATGCGGTCGTCATGGGGCTACATTAATACCCTCCTAGTGGCCTTTCTATATAGGGACGACGGCTGTTGTTTTGCGAAGTACTTTTACATGTTCTCCTGAGAATTACACATTTGTTTGCTATCATGAAAATTCATCTTGTGTTGGTAGTTACAGAATTTCGAAGTTATCTCGCCTGGAGCTTTCGACCAGTCATTCTGGTCTTCCTCAGTAGACTGACCCAGTGAGGCTTGTCACGTGACCTCTCAAGTGTGACGTTCAAACTCTCCGTTCAAAGATCAACACTAGGAAAGAGCCATAATTTATGTTTACCGAAGGAAAACATATTGTTTTTGCTCAGTTTCTTCCTCTTCTTCTCCGAACAAATAAGGTTAATAACCAGGACCAGACGTCTGTCACCATTGTAACTGGTGTTGGGTTACATAATGTTGCAGGTGCCAAGCATAACTTAGTTCAAGGTCACTATATGTATATGAATGTGTTTGAGTAAGAATAAACAAAGAAGTAGTTTGCTAAGCTAGACCACGCGAAGGTAAACATGATGCATTTGCAATGCAAATATTACCTTTCTAGTTAATATAATTATCTGTGTACTTAATGATTATAAGACGTTGCTAAACTAGATTTTGGTAGAATGACACTGTGCAAAAAACAATCACAATCTGGTCTCCCCAGAGTCCGAAGTTTATTTATCAAAACAACAGGAATCCATTTGTTGTTTGGGATAGTCTAATAACAAACATGATGTACAATATGTTTGTCACTGTCATGCATTCCCAAACGCAAATGTGGAATGGATCCAATGGGGATTAACACCTGCATAACTGTTATTCTATATATTCTACCCATTGAGGTTATAATCTCATTTTCTACTCAGTCGAAATATAATGTTGCAATCTAAAAGCGCTAGCAAATGATCCAAAACTTGCTTGTACCATTGATATTACCACAAGTACACATGCTAGATTAGTGTCTAAATGGTAAATATTGATATTCATGTTTACTGGGTGTCTGATTGAAGATGAAATTACCAAAACATTCCTTGACTAACGCGTCCAATGACCTCACCACTTGTTACAGCATTACTGGATAAAAACAGGAAAACACACAGATAATCTACTATCTTTCATTTTCCTGTGCCAGTATTTGCGCGTGCATTACTTGAATAACACGCTAGAGGGCGTTTGAAGCTAAGCGCATCTTTCTCGATTAGAAAATGTGGAGTTTCTCGACCAGCATTGCAGTGAGAACAGGAAAACAAACAGACAACACTATCTTTCATTTTCCTGTGCCAGCATTTGTGTATGCATGACTTCAATAAGAAGCTAGAGGGCGCTCGAAACTAAGAGAATCTTCCTCGACTAGAACAATGAGGTTAAATACACTTGTATTTAACCTCCTTGACTAGAACATGTGGAGTTTCTCGACCAGCATCACGGCGAGGGCGGCGGTGAAAGCCAGAGCGATGTTGGGCAGGTGACGGAGTCCACCGCAGGTTGCCGGGATGGTGATGCTGTCAAACCGCTTCACAACGTCCGGGATGCCCTGGCAAACAGGTGACCTCGCGGCGTTTTCGAAACACCTCGCCTGTCCAGTAAAGCGACTGGAAAGGATGTAAAAATTATCAAATTGAATGAGAATATGTGATACATATATGGTATACAGGTATGTTGGTTCAGTATAATCTATCTGTACCAAAGTCTGTTACGTTTTACACATAAATACTCTCCAGTAAGAGGTGTAGGCTTCGGCTTATTTTTACGTCTTTGTGAGTGATTTTATCGACTTTCTTTTCGCAAGCCAAACGGTAGTCCCGCCAATTTGATACTGCCTCGCCAATTTGATACTGCCTGCCAATTTTATACTGCCTGCCAATTTGATACTGCCTCGCCAATTTGATACTGCCTGCCAATTTGATACTGCCTCGTCAATTTGATACTGCCTCGCCAATTTGATACTGCCTCGCCAATTTGATACTGCCTGCCAATTTGATACCGCCTCGCCAATTTGATACTGCCTCGCCAATTTGATACTGCCTCGCCAATTTGATACTGCCTCGCCAATTTGATACTGCCTTGCCAATTTGATACTGCCTCGCCAATTTGATACTGCCTCCCCAATTTGATACTGCCTCGCCAAGTTGATACTGCTTCTCCAATTTGATACTGCCTCTCCAAGTTGATACTGCCTCGCCAATTTGATACTGCCTCGCCAAGTTGATACTGCCTCCCCAATTTGATACTGCCTCGCCAAGTTGATACTGCTTCTCCAATTTGATACTGCCTCTCCAATTTGATACTGCCTCGCCAATTTGATACTGCCTCTCCAATTTGATACTGCCTCGCCAATTTGATACTGCCTCGCCAAGTTGATACTGCCTCTCCAATTTGATACTGCCTCGCCAATTTGATACTGCCTCGCCAATTTGACACTCGTAACCACCAAAATATCTTGGAGATTGACCATAGCATTAATACTGACCTGCACAAGGCTCGGATTTGGTCCTTGATAGCTTTGCCGCCCTTGAGGATGGTCGGTACCAGCTTGGTGATGTTGGCGACTATGGCCCTTGCCTGTCTCTTACAGGCATCAGTCAGTGCGGTGCAAGCGGTGCCGTTTTGACCAGACGCAGGCGTAGGCGTAGGCGTAATGGTTGTGTCGTTCTGAGCTTGTGTCATTTGCGCCATGACTAGAATGAGACAATAGCATGTAAAAAAATCGACACTTTTTTGAAACAGACAAAACCAAACTGCAGAAATAGAACACAACGAACAGTGTAAATATTTAACTGGTCATCCTCTAGATAACTCCTATCACGTTAAAAAATATCATTCTTTAGTTGTGGTGGCATGTCAGGACTCTAACCCGGGACCTCTTGGTTCCGAGTCGAGCGGCCGTTACGCCACACGACCCCAATACGATTAGGCTTTGACTTCACAGTTGATATAACTGCGCGCCAAAAACAGTTCCCAACGACTAACCGTCACTGGAGCATGCATGGTGACGCCCCTGTGACTCATTGCATTACCAACTCACGAACGCAATGAACTCGAAAAGAAGAAAGGCCGATAAAACATGCCTTAGTCGTCGAAACATTCGAACTTGTGTTTTCAGCATTCTAAAATGGCCCCACTAAAATGGTCAGATTGTCCTGACCTGATGTTTCTTAACGGCAACGCTGGTTTCTTCGCGCTTAAAAAGCGCAGTACCTTTTGGGGGTGAGAGCTCTAACTTGGGAAGCGGGTCATACACCCAAAAACCCTCATAGCCCACCCACCCCATACAGCCCTCACCTCGCACTCCCCCCATTAAAAGAAGCTCTACCCTTGAAACAACTAATCTACAAGCAGATCCCTCTCGGTGGCAAAAAGACAGTATCAAATTGGCCAGGCAGTATCCATTAGCCAGAGAAGCTCCGCGGCCACCGACGGGTGGGGGTCAGGACAAAAAAACGACCATATATAAAAAGCTAACGATCATTCCCCCACAAACTCTGCTTGGAGAGTAGAAACAACTGCTACCCGCAAGAAAGTTTGCTCGGGATACTACAAAAACCCCATACCCGCCCCTCAGAGTGTAAAAACATGATTTGTAAATGTCAACGGTATTTCAAATTTAAACCGTGTTCAACGTTGAGCAAAATCACAAACGGCACAAAAACAAAGGACCGAGTACGGTTAGCTATTCAATGAATTATTATAGCTAAATCAGCAATGTACATATTAAAACATATATAATACTCTTTTAGCTGTTTTTTTTTACAGTACGAGGGAACGAAACGCCGCAACACAAGGTTATAATACATCAAAACTTTTAACCTACCCGCAAACGCCAGCCCGAAGAATACTGCCTTCAACATCATGTCGTCTTGAGTAGGGTTTTCCAACGTAAATTGAGAGATTGGGCTAGAGAAGACTTCTTAGTGTGCTACTATACTTAAACGTACGGCAAAAAGACAGATGGCTACTTTAACGTGATAGTTAAACCTGTCGGGCAACTTATTAAGGCGTCAACTCTAGATCTGTCGTCCAATTTTTCAGAGGTCAACAAACGTTAGACATTTGCGTCTGTATGTATGTTTAGGCCTTGCTATGACTCGACTGTGGCAAAAAGTAGGGAAAGAAATACGCCAACAAACTTTATAAGGCTTCTTTTATAATCCATCCAAATTTGTGGAACGTGTCAGCATTATGTATATATTAATATGTCGGTCTTGCTTGGTTTACTGTTCAGTCAGATGGTGGGAATAATTGTTTAGTGACATTTTGTTAAATTGTTCATTTACTTTGCACCTCACTTCACCAGAGGGCTGACGTCAATCTTAACCAATCGTTACGATCGTAACATCACAGGCAGGTGAGACACAGATGGCCAATGACAGAAAACGTTACAAAAGGTGTCAGGTAAGGACTGACTGACTATACATTTCCCAATGTCACGAAACTGGCTTAAGACTGTACTACAGACACTGTTGCCTAAAGTCCTGGCCTGTATAAAAATCACAAGACAAGGTTGATCTCCAAGCAGATACAAGAATCCAACGCCGTTTTGGGGACATTTAAAACTTCTTTCCTGTAGTGCGGTGCGCCAAAAATAATGTACCTTTTCCTTTAGGTATTGATTTACGCCCGTCTAGATCTGTAATCATTTTATGACATGTGCTATTCCTTTCATATGGGATATGCCGCCACTCCATGTGTGATTTTGCTTCAGGGCATTGTTGTCTTCGCAGTCCCAAAAGGGACAGAGAGTGATCGTAATGAGGTGAGGGACTGATCGGGGGAGCTAGATGGTACGTTGAGGCGTGATTTGCACGTGACTGGTGACTGATTTGCACGTGACAGTTCTGGTATATCACGAGGAATTTAAAGGGGGAGGGGGGCATCATAGGTAGTTTAGCAGTTACCGTATCAAGATATGCCCTTTACATCGTGGTTTTCGTTACACAATCATTTTATTTTCATTATAGCTGTACTGTATGGCATGTCCAACAGATTTAAACATGTTTTAAGAAAACACATGTACTCTTAGTTAGTGGTTTTGATCTTAACTTAAAAATAAAGCGTGAAAAACATATGTCTGACTGACCAAGGACTTGTTGAAACTCCTTGTTCAGAGTGACAGAGAATTTGGAGTACAATGGAAAGAATCAACCCAAAGACTGGGGACTTAGACTTGGGAATAAAAAAAAGTATATTTCACCAGTGATCATAGTTTATTTCCAAAAAAACACCAACAAGTGATTACTTAGTATTACTAAATTAATGTTAGAATATCAGGCAATATTTGGTTCATAACAAAACCCAGAACTTTCCAATGACACGGCAAGCCAGTCATCATCATGCGTTCTGACACAATAATCAAAATATATATTTTACTAAAGGTAATTAGTCCTATATTCATGCATTTTTGCTTATGATTATATTGGTTACACGCCATGTCCGTTAAATTAACAAGTACATGTATTTGAATATCAATTTGATAACAAATGACATGAAATCACTTATCACCAGTGTTAAATTTTCTGAAGAGAAGTAAAAATTATGAGGGAATTGAAAAAAATGTTTCACTGTTCATTTCAAGAATTAAAAAAAAAGTAAAATCATGTATCTGGCAAACCGTTGAAATACATATACAGTACTGTATATGTGTAACTGGTTGACGTCTACTTTGCTAGTACAGTACTCATTTTAAACCACAGTGAAACTACACATTTTCGTCGCAACGGCTAACCTATTTCTTACAAATGTAGTGAATTGAATTAGCTGCTTCTTCATATCTTGTGCAAGAGAGTGAAACGTGCAATTAATTATCTTATTTGCCTAAGGCCATGTTGATTTGATTATATGGATGACATCCTCTGGGAACCGAGCGCGCGAATAAAAAAAAGTTTTGCAAAAAAAAAGTTGCTTTCATGAAATCTACGTTGTTATGAAGGTCGAACAAATGACACAGAGTATGGTATGGCGAATAATCTACTCTTTAAATTCATTTCTTTGCATTTTAGTTTTTTGTTTGATTTTGGCATTCTACGACGTTGGAATTGTTTTCAAATATTTTTTTTGCAACTTTCAGTATATATTTGCTCATTTTGCAACTGTTTTGTACAATTTACAGTGTGGTTGGAAACTTTTTTATTTTTTGAAACGGCCGAAAATTCATGCGCGCGCGGATGTCATCCATATAATCATATCAACATGGCCTAAGGCAAAGCATCCACCATTAGAACTTTTTAGAAGAGTTTCCCGACGAGCATTGCGGTCAAGATGGACGCCATGACGACCGCCATGTTGGGGAGGGCGTGTCCAGATCCACTGATGTACTTGTTGCAGATGCTTGGGACGGAGACGCTTTTCTTGTAGTCATTCAGGGTGTTGGGGAGACCGCTGCAATCCGCCGAGTCGGCAGCCGTCTTCACACACTTCTCCACAGTACCAAACTTCCTGGAATTCCATAAAGGATAAGGAGGTTTAAAGTTAAAACGCTAGATGTTCTCTCACCTAGAGCTTTCGACCAGTCACTCTGGTCTTTCTCAGTAGACTGACCCAGTGAGGCTTGTCACGTGACTTCTTTGACGTGTGACGTCAGCACTGGGTCAATGGTATATGATAGACGATGTCGGCCCCCGTCGCGGTTGAGTGAAGGGTGATGGGCCCTGATGTAAACTACCCCTTTCATCCTCCTTAAATCAGGGCCCATCAACCTTCACTCAACCGCGACGGGGGCCGACATCATCTACCACCTTTGACCCAGTGTTGAGCCCCTTATGTGTACTGTGTTGGTGTCCCTATCCCCATGTGACCCATTTGTAAAACAGAACAGGCTTTACCATTTTATCATTATGAAGCAGAGTTTGAACTGTAATCATTTTTTTTTCAACACAAAAAATTGGACGTACCCACAATGTTACGAATATCACAGAAGCGGTGGATTGTTCATTCCTTGACAAAGACTGGAGTTTGAACATGTGGGTACTAGTCGAATTTCTTGTGTTCCAACTAGCTTCATTGTACCAGGCCTACAATAGCTTGATAGGTTTCACACATGTCTGTAAAAAAAACTTACAAGCATAGTGTCTTCAGGGTGTTGGTGATGGACAGTCCGCCGGTCAGGATCTGGCCCGCCAGGGAAGTGACGTTAGAGATGATGCCCGCCACCTCGCTGGAGCAGGCCGACACTTTGGCGGCACAGGCGGTGTTGTTCCCGCCGGAACCGCTAGCTTGTGTCGCGTTCCCTCCAGACGGAGCTGCGGTGGTGGCATTCCCAGCCGCCGAAGCCAAAGTGAGCAAACCTGTGAAAAGGAGGGATGGTTGTAACATCTGGCAACAGCGGTATCTTATACTTCTTGAGAATCAGGGGTTTTTCTAAACAGGGGAACAAGGGAGCTACTCCCTCATGTAACCAGCCAGCTCCCTCATATCAATTTTCAAATTGAACCCTTGTGAGTGTTACTCTTATTAAAAAATCCCCCCTCGGTCACTTCGTTCCTTGCCATGCTTGCGATCTGCTCCCTCATGCTAAATTTTTATAGAAAAACCCCTGAGAATTGTATATGAATGGTCATAAAGTAGTAAACTAGAAAGGTGACATTTGCAAAGCATTTACCTTCGAATGGCCCAGCTTAACAAACTACGGCTTTGTGTATTCTTACTCAAAGACACTAATACATATGGTGACCATGCAGCCCCTCTTGAACTCAGTTCTGCATGACACTTGCAACATTATGTAACCCAACACCAGTCACCATGGTGACAGACGTGTGGTCCTGGTCATTGACCTTATTTGTTTGGAACGGAAGAAGAAGAAGAAACTGAGCAAAAACAATATGTTTTCCTTCGGTAAACATAAAAGATGCGCGTGCTGCAACCCCACTTCATTTCGCAAGAGGGCGTCACTGACACATTACTAGTATGTGTAACGTATGATCATGATGACAGGTGGTTCCCATGACAGATTGGTCGTTTGACTGTTAAATTGTGAATAAAATACCGCCTGTCAGCGAGATGATGGATCACTGTGAATGATCTGCAGGAATTTGACACCCTTTCAGTTCACGCTTCAGTTCCTCTTTTCATAAGACCACTCCGCCGCCATTTTGTAACATATAAGAACGGGTAAAACTCGATGTGTCGGTTTTTAATAGCTTGTCAATCATCCTCGTATCATTGTTGCGTATTCACCAGTTTCCCATCCCCAGAATGCATTGCGATAACATGGGTCTAAACCTCATTTGCATAGGACAGGAAGGCATAGGAATTATCCTGTTGACGTTAAACAGCTTGTTTTTCACTGTGTTTTTAGGTGTTTGGGCATTACCAGTATCATTCCGATGCCTTTCTGTCCTATGCAAATGAGGTTTAGACCCCTGTTTTCGCAATGCATTCTGGGGATGGGAAACTCGTGAATGTGTTACATATGTGTGTTATCTAGATCTAAGCTCCTCTGCTGAATGTTTGCAAAATGAATTTTTTAAATGAATTACGCTCCTTAGTTCTTTTAGTAACGGATTTTATCCCTTTGAAGCGACAATCTTAACTTGGATGGAAAAGGGACAAAAGCAGCCTCTACCAGGCTTCGGGATGCGGCTGGAAAGAGTAGAAAGCCTGGTAGAGGCTAGGCCAAAACCCCATGTGCCCTTATCATCACAATCCATTGCATCATCCAAGCGCAATCATGCGTTAGAATTAACATTATCACTTATCCATCTATCTATTTGCACTTATATTTGTATTCTGTATACATGAACATGTAGTTTATTGTATGTGACTTTTCATATGGGTCGTACGCCTGATATAAACAGTAAACAATGACTGACAGATTGAACTACAATGGCAATTGTAGATGCATTCTGTTCAACATTCACCCGACTTATTTTCTGACGGAATTCGTTTCATTTCGGTGACTGCAAAACAACAATAGACCACTCCTCTCTGAAACAGTGCGCCCTGCATTCATAAATTATTCAAAGTGGTTACAATGCCACGCCCCAATCGGTAACCCGGTATTTCGTACCCGATGCTTCTTAGAGCGAGAATTATCCAACCGGAGGACCTGTTACTTTCTTGTTAGGAAAAGACGTGCCGAAGCTACTTTGCGATCGCGTAGCGCGCTTCAATACATGTATTTTCATTTACTGTTTTACTCATCAAATGCATGCCCGCATGGTGAAAATATATATATGGGTCAATCTACGTACAAACAGATGTGCATTTCTTTTCTTGTCACCTCATCGCACATTAGATGAGCAATAAAACATAAGCACTAGCTAAAGGTGTGTAAAAAGCAGCCAAAACGTTATACGCGAGTTTAAAACATTCTGATACAACCGTGCACGAGTCAGATGGAAAGATTCCTTTGTTGCAATGTACTGCATGGGTGTATTATTTCATCAAAAACCGGTCTATTTGCACATAATTGCTATGACGCCATTTGTCCCAGGGCTTTTTTTTCTTCATTCCTTACAAAGTTACATCCTAGCCAGAGCACCACTGTACCACCTGGCCACAAAAAAAAACGCCCACTCCTACCTACCAATCGACATCTCATCCTGATTATATAGACCAGAAGAAGAACGTGAGATGTAATAATACTACAGGTTTTCTCACCAAAGCTTCTCTTTTGGGCGTAGCGTTTGTGTAAGCCATCACGAAACCGCCGGCGAATGCACTTGGGTACACGGCGCCAGCGTTGACACAACCCGACACGACAGCGTCCGAGCGTGCGGCATACACTGTGCGACGCATCACGACCGCCAACGCATCACGAATTTTGCGGGACACGCCAGACTTGCAATCCGAGTGATGCTGCGCCGGATTACGATAGACGTTCGCAACGCATCACGACCGGCAACGCATCACAAATATGCGGGACACGCCAGACTTGCAAACCGAATGATGCTGCGCCGGAGTTCGATAGGCGTTCGTGATTGCTGTAACGAAATCGCCGGCAAACGCACCTCACGGGTACACTGCGTCGGGTACACGGCGCCAGCGTGCACAAATCCCGATACAAAGGCGTCCGAGCGTGCGGTAGGCACAACATTCGACGCATCATGGCCGGCAACGCATCACCATCCTGCGGAACAGGCACGGCCTGTCACCCGACCGACGAATGCTTCGCATTGACACGATGGGCGTTCGTCTAATTCACCGGCGAGCGCAATTAGAGGCGCGGCACACCCTGCCCCCGCGCATTTACGCAAGAACGCTACGTCAAATGTAAAGTCAGAAAAGTCAAGCATGGAGAAAAGAGTTTGGGCTGCTGTAGTGAAGTCACTGTAGTCAGCGTAGTGAAGAATACCGAAAGGTGACAGATATGGGAAGCCCGATTTTGTAGTGGTAGTACATGTAGTATCTGTAGTCAGGACTGTTAGAAACATGAAGAAAAGAGTTTGGGCTGCTGTAGTGAAGTCACTGTAGTCAGTGTAGTGAAGAATACCGAGAGGTGAAAGAAATGGGAAGCCCGCTTTTGTAGTGGTAGTACCTGTAGTATCTGTAGTCAGGACTGTTAGAAGCACGAAGAAAAGAGTTCGGACTGCTGTAGTGAAGTCACTGTAGTCAGTGTAGTGAAGAATACCGAGAGGTGACAGATATGGGAAGCCCGATTTTGTAGTGGTAGTACCTGTAGTATCTGTAGTCAGGATGATAAAGAAAAGAGTTTGGACTGCTGTAGTGAAGTCACTGTAGTCAGTGTAGTGAAGAATATACCGCGAGAGGTGACAGATATGGGAAGCCCGATTTTGTAGTGGTAGTACCTGTAGTATCTGTAGTCAGGACTGTTAGAAGCACGAAGAAAAGAGTTTGGGCTGCTGTAGTGAAGTCAGTGTAGTAAAGAATACCGAGAGGTGACAAATGGGAAGCCCGATTTTGTAGTGGTAGTACCTGTAGTATCTGTAGTCAGGACTGTTAGAAGCATGAAGAAAAGAGTTTGGGCTACTGTAGTGTAGTCAGTGTAGTGAAGAATACCGAGAGGTGACAGAAATGGGAAGCCCGATTTTGTAGTGGTAGTACCTGTAGTATCTGTAGTCAGGACTGAAGCATGAAGAAAGGAGTTTGGGCTGCTGTAGTGAAGTCAGTGTAGTCAGTGTAGTGAAGAATACCGAGAGGTGACAGAAATGGGAAGCCCGCTTTTGTAGTGGTAGTACCTGTAGTATCTGTAGTCAGGACTGAAGCATGAAGAAAGGAGTTTGGGATGCTGTAGTGAAGTGAGTGTAGTCATTGTAGTGAATAATACCGAGAGGTTACAGAAATGGGAAGCCCGCTTTTGTAGTGGTAGTACCTGTAGTATCTGTAGTCAGGACTGTTAGAAGCACGAAGAAAAGAGTTCGGGCTACTGTAGTGAAGTCACTGTAGTCAAGAAGTGAAGAATACCGAGAGGTGACAGATATGGGAAGCCCGATTTTGTAGTGGTAGTACCTGTAGTATCTGTAGTCAGGACTGAAGCATGAAGAAAGGAGTTTGGGATGCTGTAGTGAAGTCAGTGTAGTCAGTGTA